GAAAAAATAAGATTGATTGCCTTCTTTTTTCGAGATCCTTTAGCATGTGCTGACTGTTTGTCACACATGCAGCCCTTCTCCTGGCTTTAACCCGCAAAGAAAACCCATTTCCATCATTCAAGCGGCTAAAAGGAATCCAACCGTGTACGGTGCCAAAAAAGCATTAAGTTTTTCTGAGTTCCTCCTATCTCTGAGCCATTCTGTCAGCCATGAACTTAATTTAGTTCCATCCAAGCAACAATCCAAAGCCTGTTAACGCTCGCCCAGCATGGCAGAAAGCGCCTTTTAAAAGATCTCACCTATTACTAATGAAGCAATTGTTTCCTTTACTATGTGTCAGTTTATTGTGCTGTACAGCCTTCAAATAGACACAAAAGTCTTTTGTAGAGTCAGGGGAGTTTTTTGTTTGCTGCTTTTCTTTTTGTATTAAGCGCTTGAAATAAAAAAAGCTCACCCAGCTTCAGAGCAGAGAACGAGACAGAGCCAAACATGAGAAATGTGTGACAAGAGCAAAGAGCATCTAAAACTATTCTTACAACCAAAGAAATCTGACAGTACTAAAAACATGCCACCAAAAAATAAAGGATGTGTATACCTATACGCTTGATCATTTACAGTAGATTCCAAGGTCCTCTTTTATTTGCAAATGTAGGCATCGTTTAAGGGAATATACAGGTACTAATGTTTGTATTCCTACTAAAGTTAATCATTACATTATACTCTATTACATTATCATTAGATTACATCCTATAAGTAACATTACTTTAAATTTAAACTAGCATTCAAAAGTTTGGAACCACAGTTCAAAAGTTTGGGGTCAATGTATGAATTGATTCTATTCTGATGCTACTACAACAAAAGATTTCAGCTAATTAGTATGAACTTTTTTAAATGTGTCCAGGGTGATGAACAGAGCTGTAGATGATTCCATAATGACTGAGAAAGCTGTATAACACTGAGAACGAAGTTTCCAGAATACTTCATATTTGAAACATAGTGATGAACACTCAGACAGCTAACTTACCAAGAAATATAATATAATATAATTACTATACATCAATAATAATAGTATATTATTTATTATTTAATAACCTTTTGGTGTTCTCAAAAAGCTTGAAATATTGAATAAAACATTCTGAAATACAACCCCCCCCAAAAAAAAGTTATTCCATTATTCAATTTGTCATCTAATGTCTGCTGTTATTTAATGATGAGTGGATCAGTTGAAATGGTCCAAAATGAATTGGAATGATATCTTATTTTGCATTAACATACATCAACGGTTAAAAATATGTTTTCATTCTCCTGAAAAGTTTCATTTTTGGAGATTTTATTCTGACAGTGACAATATACTGTACCATTTTCTACACTGTTTTTAGAAAATGGACTTTAAAAAAGTACTGGTATTGCTAATATTGACTGTATATCCCATGAAATCACTCTTCGATATATTGAGCTTCACAAATAGTTCGACCTCTATTTAGAACAATGCACAATGTGTCAATTCAGATGACTAGAGAGAGAGAAAGAGACAGAGAGAGAGAGAGAGCGAGAGAGAGAACAAGCAGAGATGGGCCTTTGAGTGGAGCTCAGGATTACAGACACCAGCACTGCTACGTTTCCCTCAAGGTGAGAATTGTTTTTGTTCTCACAATTCACACAGCATCTCTTCTCTCTCAGCTTTGAGGCCAAACATTAGCTGAGCCATGCCTCACACTGCAGAATGAGTGTGTGCGGTATGTGTTTGTGTGTGTAGGATTTGTTCAGGGAGACACTCTCCAAGGCTGCAGAGGTGTTTAAAAACCCATCTGGCTCAGTGAAGAGAGAAAAGCTGGAGAACTCACTCTACTCCATTCTCTTTCCTCTCCTTACTGCTTCCTCCCATTGATCAGAGGAAACAGGAAGTGCAGTGGCTATGCACTCAGCCATATCCCTCTGGAATAATAATCAGACTCCATTTTCTCTGCTCCTTCCCCACTGCACCAATGACTCCCCAGCTGCACCTTGCTGCACTACAGTCTGGACTTACAGTACATCCTCATGCGGTCAGCATGTAGCCTCCTTTGTTGTACAATGAAAATCACTAGAGCCCCTGCGTAGGGTCAACATGACAATAAAAGCAGTTACACTGTTGCTTAAACAGGAAAGACATGCAAATTGTACTGTGGGTTCAGTTAACTGCTCATCTTATCCTCATTTTAGTTTGTTTTTATGTGATTTAGAAATTTCATGGGTTTACATGATGGGTTCCATATTATATGAACAATGATAATAGAAGCAAAATGCATGGAAGTCGAGAAGGAACAACACTCCAAATCAATAAACATAGATCGATATAGTTTAATCTTACTTTGAGTTGGGTTGTGATGGGGGGTTGATTGGTAGGTAAGGTAAATAGCTTAAACTGCTACCTGTAACACATCACACTGTATTTATATTACAAGTGAACTAAAAAAAAGGCCCTAGAAAGACGGAAAGGAAGGAGGGATGGTGGTGCAACAAACAGATCCTCGCCCAGGCTTTGAAAAAAAAAGATATCTAGCAAAGTATCCAGATGTTCTGTGTTGAAATGTTACATCACAGAGTTTACACATTTTTTCCATCCTGACAATCCAATGTTATGAAAAATACATAACATTTTACTTTTAAACAGATCTGATATGGACTGAAGAGGTGTCAGAATCCGGGGTATGTTGCAATGAATAAAAAAAATAAAACAGAAAACTAAAGCAGATTCTAAAAAAATTCCACAAAGATACACTGTAAAGAGAAGTAAGTGAAAGAACACTCCACATAGCCAAAGTGTGTTGTGCAGCATTACTCTCTTTTTGCCAAAATTTGGGCCTGGTGTTGAAAGGAAAGTGGTGGAGTTCAAAATCAAAGCTGACAGGCAACAATAAATCAAGCTAAATCACAAATCAATAACAAATACCAGCTAAATTATGACTAATGGTATAGCAGTCATAAACTAACACCAACACAACTCAGCAGGCCATTAATTTCATGGCAATGCAAAATAAACAGACACATTTCTTTCACAGCCCTAATAAATTTCCCTGAAAAACTCAAAGAACAGTCCATCTGCTTCCAATAATTTTTAATTTCCCTTTCTGTCCCATTCCCATTAGGTATTCCACCGAGATATTTGTGAAATTCTTTCATTTACCTCCTCCCATCTGCATTCAATTACCGTATTCCCAAACAGGGTGCGGGTTTGTTTCTCCTCTGCCCCCCGTCCCCCCTCCCCACACCTGTACCTTAAGCAAACTTTATGCTTGTTTTATTATCTGTGAGAGGCCATGAGTCATTCCTGCTCAATTGCATGCTGGTGCTGGAGCTGGACAGGAATCTGGTTTTGATGTTTTTTGGCTTGGGCAGAAAACACCTGCACCTATTCTCTGGGCTGATCTATTAGCCTGGTAAATGGTGGAGCAGATGTTCTGAGATCAGCAGGGACTCCAGGCCCGTCTTTATGGCCGCTTCTCCTGTTAGCTCCCAGCCGCTGAACCCAGATCAGAGAACAATTATAGCCTTGCTGAATTTTCCTTGTAAATCATATTTTCATAAACAGAGACCTATGGGGGTAATCTGTACCCTTTAAAACTCTGAGTCCATTTCCAGACTGAATCTGGCAGCCGCCTGTTGGAGGAATCTGCGCTCCCTAAGCAACATTATGTATCGTAACCTTTGCAATTCTCTTAATTCTTTCGATGTATGTATGGCAATATCTTATATTAGCTCTCTATAGCCTCAAACTAATGCGCCCACACAGGGGAGGCCTTATTATTTCAAGAGTGTGGCTGCAATAAAATTTCAATGATTAGAATCACAGGCTGCAATAGGACTTTCCTGAAGGCAGTGCTTTGCTCAATAGGCTATTAAGTAGCATCAGAGTGAATTGTAAATGCAATCACTTGAGCGCTGGCGTGAGCAGAGCCTGAACACATACATGATGTTCCTCACATTCACCCAGCGCATGTCCTTCACACCTCTCCCTGCACTCCTCCAGGCCCTCGGGTCGTCCGCCATCAAAATAGCCCTGCTGGGTCTCAAGACAAACACAGTGGCAGACTTAATAACGTGATCTGACAAGGAGCGCTCCAGAGAAATATTGCTGAGCGCATACAAAGGTCTTATTTACGCAATGCAGACACTTTCCGCAAGTGCACTGCCACAACAGAGTTCAGATCATTCACTCCTGCGCTTAACAGTACAGGCTGTACTTGAGAGTCTGAAGCCTGATAAACAGAAGAGGTGAATTTCACTTTGGGCGAGGGAGCGATAATTTACACATGTTCCCATGTCCACTATTAATAACTGACTGCTTTATTGCAGAGCCAGGCAGTCATGCAGTTCTTAAAGAGCGACAGGACATGTTGTCACTGCTGTTTTCATAAATCCTGCCAAAAGGAATGCGGCACTAAACAGAGGGGAAAACAGAGCTCTGTGTGCTATCAATAGCACCAGCATATGACTGTGATTTCCTCTTCCCCTGCTCGCCTGCTCTGGCCTTGGGAAACAGCACTCCTGCTGGCTCACCTAAGGCATTACCTCAGCCAAACACACCACAGCGGCCATGTTGAAATAAGTGAAGAGAGACCCAGTCAGTGGTGAGTATCTTGTGGCTCTTTAAACGCAATGCCTCGTTAAGCGTCATCTTCAGAAAAACACATCATGCAGTCTTTAGTGAGGCCCTAAAAGAAGATGTCAATGCCACATCAGATTTTTTCAATAAATGTCACTTTTGCTATTTAGAAGGGGAATCATTACATAAGCCGAAAAGGATCAAGGCTGAGAGGAGATGGTTGTCAAATGAAATGATGAAAGAGGGGTAATAAAGACAGGCATTGGTCTTTGGGAGAATTTACACTTGCTGGCTATGTGGAGACAGGGTAAGGGACACGTAGAACCAGTTCCATCTGACAGCTTGATTGACCTCTGAAATCCAAGAAAGGCCACACTGATATGTTTTCAGATTTATAGACCCCTGAATATACTTCCAAACCTTTCAAAATACCTACATTAACTATAAAAATTAGCTGACTGTTGACTGACTTGTTGGGACTTGTTGGGGGTGGTGGTCGGGCTGGTGGTTATTTCATCTCTGTCACAGTGCTAAGCTGAGATGGATCTATCATGATGGCCAGATCATCACTCACTAATAATTAATCAAATGGTACAGTAATGTGACACTTAATCTCCATTTGGCCCTCAGCTCTGCATGGTGTGAGAACATGAAGGCCTGACTTCTATATTTACATCTGCAGGCTGTCTCTGCCTGGACATCCATAACAACAAACAGTGTCCGAGGCAGGCAACACAAACAAATAAGGTAAGAACACTCTTAAAATAAAAAGGTGGCAAAAAGGATTGTTTGCAGTGATGCTGTAAAAGAATCACTTTTCATTCCCTGAAGATCCTTTCGATGGATAAAAGAAGCATATTTGTAAATGAGGTGAGTGTGAATAACATGTTTAAAGTTTTAAAAATCTCCACAAAATATAAACCAATTAAACCTTTAAGGCTGGATGTTGCTCTGGCAACAAATTCATGATGCATTATATTGAAATAATTTTAGAACCATTTGTGAAATCAACAATCTACATAACATCTGCAAGAGTTATCTGTATCTGCCCACCTATTAGAGCACAGTTTGTACAGTTCATCGTTCATTTTTTTCTACTTTTTTTTTGTCTTGTGTTGTCATGGTTGGTAGCCAATCAGTGGACTGAATACACCATCCAACAGATCCAATCACAGCAGGGATTTAGCTGTAGAAACCCCCCCCCCACACTGTGTTTAAATATGTAACTGCTAGCATAGCATTAGCACATTCCAACATGTTAGTAGGTACAGCGCAACTTCTGAAAGATTTCAAAAACATTTGACATCAGATTAAAAAAGCAGTTTTATATATGATATAAATTTATTGTATAGATAGTATATCACTACTTTACAGTTAAAAATAACAAGATATGTTCAGACAGCCCCTTCTACCCATGTTATACACACAACATACACACACACACACACACACACACACACATATATATATATATCCTTTACAGAGATGGAAACTATTAATGGACAATTAAAATGTACTTTCTCAGTTCATATATAAAGCATAAAATTTGGTCAGTGCAAAAGTTATGGTACATTTTATATTTTTTGTTTGACTTTTTTCCAATAATAGAAAGATGGAAATGTCATATTTGCCTTTGTCTCATATTAACTTATTTTTACTTAGAAAATCAACAAAACATGCAAGTTGACCAATTGTGTTCAAACTTTTGCACTCAACTATTTATGGAAATATATAACTTGACATATATTTTGAAAAATATATGGAAATATATTTCCTTTGCATATGGGTAGACTCTTAGAGAATCTTTAAAAGGTTAACTATTTTTGCTAGACACATCCAAGCCAAGAAACATTTAGTAATCCTTGTCGTTGAGAGTATAGGAACATCTATATAAGATTTTCAAATTACATCAATACACTACAATCATAACGTGCCTTCTTTGAGATTGTGAGTCTTTTCCACAGCTGATATGAAAAACTAGCAGATGATTTTAGGGGTTGAAAATTAACACTCCTGTGAGGGTTTACTAGCCTGAAGGTATAGAGTTATAACCGACAGTCTCCCTCTTCAAAAAAGACAATGAATTGGGTGAGGAGGCCTGCCACGGGCACAGCTTGTCAACATCAATCATTCTCAAATATTTACAGAGCAATTGTTGGCTTGCTGGCCCTGCCCCTGACAGAGATACCACTCAAATCTGTCCTTTTCTTTCCTATTCTCTGTGCTGCACAGATTAAGAGACTTGGAGGACCGTGTCACTCTCTTCTCCCTCTAACTCCTCCCTTAACCCGCCTGGAGCACCTTCGGCCATGGCAGGGGCGCTAATCCACGGCCCTGGCATTCCTCTCCGCTTTGCAGGACGCTTGTCAGCTCCCGGAGGTGCGGATGCTTGGCTGTCAGAGCTACTTCAGAATGGATGGATGGAAAGCTGAACCCAGCGAAGCTCACGTGTGATCTGCCCATGTAGTGCAATGGAAAAACACAATCATTTTCATACCTCTTTATGTTCCCCTAAGAGTGGTCAGATTCTGCTGCTAAGTGCCGGTCTACATGGGACCGAGTATGTGTTAAAGGCTAGCAGGATATGGTCTAGATACAAGAAGTTGAACTGAGAAGTTGAACCAGAAAACTGGATAGTGTTTATGATACAGGACACTGCTTTCCCCAGCAGTCTTTTCAAAGAAACATGTGTGTACTTCTATTTACTGTGATGTTATGATTATAAAGATCCTAACCATTGATCTCTCTCAGTTCTTCCTCACGTCCGACAAGGCCATCTTCAATGCAGGGTCTGAGCAGATGTCAGTGGAAATAATGGATTCTCAATGTGTCCTAAGATACCGTTACATTATAAATACACTACATGACTAATGATGATTAATCTTTACAACATACACATTTCAGGATACATTACTACATGTTATTAATACGCTATAAAGACTCACTGTTTGTGAATTTTCTGAAGTCACATGTTTCTTTTCCTATTTATTACTTGTACATGGAAAGAGCCAGACAGCAGCTGAATGTTAATGCACCCCGCGGCCGATGAAGATATATGAGCGCTCAGTTTTGTTTTTCCTATTAGCCAAGCATCTGGAAGGATTGGATCGCCCAGGGTTCTTTGAGTGAAACCTAAGCTCTCCATCACAGGTGAAATAATCTACGGACCCTTGGCTGTAGACAGCGTCTGGACATAAACAGAGCTGCAAAATGCTAACGTCTTCTTCCATATTTTTATGCCTCCGTTTATTGGGGTTTATTTACCACACCTCCGAAGGTTAAACATACTAATCTCTTATCTAAAGTATCAGTCAAAATAGCACATGGTAAGCACCGACTGACGTGAGAGCAGAAAGACACTTGTGCATGCCTCTCCCTAGATCTGGTTGCCCCTCTGCATGACTCAAGCTGCCAACATGACAGCTCCACCTGGCCAGAGCAGACAGCCAGCTGGCCCGGCCTATGATTTACGGCCTGCGTAAACTTACTCAGCGGGACCTCCAACACATTTGTGCATTCACTCACACGTAGAAGTGTTACATGATGCTAAGAGGCATTAATACCAGGGGTCCACTGAGACTGAGTGACAGCAATAAATGTTTAGAGCCATACTTATCACTTTTCAAAAGGGGGCTCCTTGTCCGTGCGGATGATTCTGGAAATCAGTGAAGCGGATTTATGTAGTATGCAGGAGATTACGCCAACCTGGCTCTCAGATCTGCATTGCATTCTCAATGGTATCAGCCCATAAAACAGCAATGATATCGTAAAACCAAACGTACACCCGATAGCAGGCTCCCATGTTTCGTCCTCGGGAGTATTCTGATACCTTGTTTGATTTTCATTTTTCAAGGCCAGTGTATTAATCTTTTGGCGGGATGTAAAATTCTGCTTGAGGAAGGTGTTTGAAAAGCCTACGCTCTCTCTCCACTCTCTCTACCTTTTACAGTTACAAGGTCCTTGACTTAAATATTAACAATGCCAAAACCTGCAGATTACTCCGAGGTCCGCAGTCAAGTACAGGACCTAGTTTGCAGCGAGCCTGTGTGTACGTTTATAGCGGCGGTGCTATCTCTCTCATGCACAGTAGTGCTATACATGCAAACTCTGAAATGCCAAAATAAAGCTGTCTGCTTGACATATGATACCAATAAAGAGAATGAATGAATTCCTGCAAAGGGCAATGTTGAGGGTCTAGCTCTGTCTAACACTGTTACTGTTGTTATAGAGGTTGTGTCTTTTGAACGTTATGGTGCTGAATATGCTTTCTTATAAATTCACATTTCTTGCATTTTTCAAGCTCATGCGGATGCTACTTCTTCACTTGTCTCTTTTTTGAACACTACCAAAGGCAGGGCTACAACTATATGTCTTGTAAGGGAGCTCATTTTAGCGTCAAAAAACAGAAGCGATTTACCCCGAGACAGATCTTGGGTGGTTTCGCATGTGTAAAGGCCTCCATGACGAGCAGTGTAGCCACATATCCTCAGGCAATTTCCATCCTGGAGGCTTTGAGGCTAGAAATGAGTAAATAAAACCAGCAGACCACTGAACTGCTTCAGAAGAGCTGATACATCAGAGACCCTACATCTTCTCCAGCACTTTTATTTTCTCCATTATATCCCTGTTAATGAGTCGTTGTGAACAGGAGAGCTAATATATAGGGGCTATGCATCCTAACGGCCGATAAAAAGAGATGGGCATTATCAGTTTGGATGCCTGTTAATTTGAGTGTGCGGGATGGTCTGTGAGGTGGGAGATAAATAGGAGTCAGTTTCTCGGCAATGTCATTTATTTTGTGCGGTAAAATGGAGTCTGGGGGAACTTCACTGGGTTGTTAGCATTCAGCTCGGAGCTCCTAGGTAAGGAAATTTTGTCCTTATTTCAACAGAGGCACTGCAGGGTGTAGTATAGGCCCAGCTCTAATTAATTTCCATACCCATTCATATTACTCTTTTATGTAACTGCCAAGTTTTCTAATTGCATTCATCTCCAAACCCGGCTTAAGTTCTTTAAGTATATTTATTATCACGCTAACTGCTTCTAAATTATTAAACTTAATGATGTAAGCACCAAAAATATGTTGTCCTTTATTTTCTCCACAGAGAATCAATGTTATGCATTAGCAGTATAAATTAAGTAATACTTTACCTAGGCATGTTGCTGCCTTCGATACATTCCCTTAGTAAGATGTATGCTCCCAGCTGAGCGCTCCCCAGGCCACTTGGGGAAAGGATGATATAGTTCATTCTAATGAAAGAGCTTGCGACTGGTAATGGCTTAAATGATGCATTTGCACTAAAGAAAATGTGCTGGAGAGAGAGAAGCAGGATTATTCAATGGCTAACTAAGGTGTGATGTCACTAGTCACATATAAACCTGACACCCTGGCATTTATAATATTAGAAACCTAATCATGAACCGTAATGTTTACACTAAAATGCTTGTTAATCCTAAAGTCAATACTTTTTAAATGCTTTATACATTAGACATGGATTTTCCAAGAATGGTTTACTATCAGTAAGTGGTTTTGAATAGCACAGTATAGCATTTAAATAGTATCATGATCTCTTAAGTATTGCATATTGTACCTTTCATGACAATAATGTTCAGATTTGCAAATAATTCAACTTAATACACCAGAAATATCTAATACCGTTAAATTTACTTTATTTCAACATAATATTTTCCTCTCAACACTTGGGGGGTGAAACGGAGTACCTCTTTCTCATCTTGATTTACATTTTCTGAACATCTTCCTAGAAACAGATAGGGTGGAGAAAATGGCTCCTCTGAGTGGCTGCATGCTTATAGTGATTGGTGGTCTCATCTGCTGAACCTATTGCATTAGTATCTGCTCCCCCGATCTCAAATGGCCTCCGCTACACTCTCAGGCCAAAGAGCACTCACTTGGAGGGAAGATAAACTAAGATTACTCCTCTATCCTATTCCAAAAGTGCCATCTATCACCAGGCCCTCCATGTGACTTCAATTACATTAACGAGCTTAATGTTAGTGTTAAAACACAGTTAAGGACAGACCAGGGGCCATGGCTGAGCTAGGTGTCTGTGACTAATGACTAACCTGTCTGAAAAACACAAAAGAAAATTCCTTTTGGTGAGGCAGATATTCAAGAAGAGTTCACATCATGTTCTTTTCTTTTTTAATTCTCCTCTCATGATCTATCCTCCGCAATCACTAATTGCGTGATTCTTCTTGTCTGCTTCAACTTATTCTAGACAGGTTATTTCAGCTTGTTATCGGGAAAGCATTTATCCACTTGGAATTATTACTTTGCAAGGCCCTCCCACAGCAACATAAACAGTAGTGAATCTTTTAGAGTTATGGTAAAGCCTTTCCTCATTAGATGGGCAATCGACTGGGGGAGAGGAAGCCCCAATTCCAGCCTTTATTGAGTGTAAAGAAGAGCCAGACTGACATTTACATCTCCTGGTTCTTCATGACTGGCTGGCTGGGAAATCGGCCCATAGATCTCCCTTTTGAGGAGGGTGCTGGAGCAAAAGACCAGACCCAATTTACCGCTCTGACTTATGTTTCCAGCCAGAAGTTCACATCTTTGATAGGGAGATTCCAAAGGAAATTCCAATATATCAGTATAATAATGTGCTAAGCTTTTCAATATATTTTTTCTTTAATATTAAAGGCCTGGATATTCACATCCTACTCATATTCTAAATAAAGAAAACTGAAAGTTGAATGATCAAAGTGAATTTAAGAAAAAAGAAATAAGAGAGAATTTGGTTTATTGTAATAAATAAATACACAATGCCAGCAAAAATAATTTCCTTCATTATTAGAAGTAATTACTCTTAACTTTCACTGGCCTGCTTACTCAAAGACTAACATTCTCTCTGAACTTCTCTTTGAGCACAGTTTTTCAGTATTCCTTCCCTCAATAATCTTATTAAACAAAAATCTGGTCATTTCATATGCAGCAATATATCACTTTTATGATCTTTGCTGACAGTGCTAGTGCTTTGGCTCGACTGTCTATAACCTGGACAAAGTGTCCCCTCACTACCACAGCCCAGGGTCCACCACTGTGCTTTGCATACGTCTATGGCGCTGCTCTTTTCATTTTCTACAGCAATTACACTTCGCTCTCTCCAACAGAAAAGGCTTCCCAATGCCTAACAATGTCACAGAGGAACTCTTGCCTCCAAACCGTGGTCCAATTAGGCCTGAAATATGATAACTGCTACACTCATTATTGTGTGATCCAAAAGGGGGAGTGGATAGAGAGGCTGAAGGTTAGGCCTGGCTTTCAGAAATGATGTGTGGCGTGAGGACTTGTGCTTACACAGCAGAAAAACAGCACAATGACGAGGAATAGCGAGGCACGGGTGCAGGACAATAAATAAATTCTCTTCGATGGATCTCTCTCCTAGGGACATACATTAAACTGCTCACAAATACTACAGAAAAGATCAGTGTCTCACAGAGTGAGTGGGCACTGAAAAATCAATGCATGCCTCAACTAAACCTATTCGTTGTTTCCTACCAACACAGGCACAATGAACTATGGGGTATATTCAGCTAGATACATTTTAAGAATTATTTGAGGAGTGAACCATAAACAGTTCATCAAAAAGCTTTGAATTTATGAACTGTAAAAATAGCAGTACAAAAAATCCCACACAGTGATCTGCACGAGAAGAAGTCATGAAGTGATGGCTGATCAATGCTAATCACAGTAGTGAAACATTCACATCAGTCAA